TATTGCCAGATGCATTGTTCAATTAAGAATGTGAACTACATGTGTGTGTGGTTTTATTCTTTTCATGTTTATACATGTTTGGAGATTACATTTTTTTTTGCCAATTCAATTCCAATGTCTAAAGTATTACATCTTAATGTCTCTTACAACGGGGTCCCTTGCATTGTTTATATTAAAATGATTAGAGTAAAATGATACTAACATTATTCACTGCATTTCTTTCTGGGACATTACATGTATGATATTATAGAAAGATTGTACATCCAGTGTTTCTCACGGGACAATTATTTAACACATTGCACAATTCAAGCAGCCTTTGGAAAATATGTTCTGCTTTATCTCTTCGACTTCCATTCAGGCTTTTGCGAGCACCATACTTTACACAAATAGAAAAAATAACATCTTGTTGTGTGGAAGCAGATCTCTTGTGTGGGCGGCTCGAATAAATGCAATACACTGGAAGGCTGGCTAGTGATTCCCAAGTGAGACAGTTACATTAAAAGCAAAAAGTTGCACATTAGCAATCTGTTGCACCCAAACTAACAGATGGACGTGCTGCCAGATGCGGAGCAGACCGATTAGTTAGAAGGACAGAACACACAAAACAAAAACACATCAAGGCCACAGATGTATCAATGAATGAAGAAAAAGCCCACCAGCAATGTTATGCAGACAAAGCCACGTACAAAATCTTCGAGGCCTAACGCTGTGTTTGGTGTGTGTGTGTGTGTGTGTGTGTGTGTGTGTGTGTGTGTGTGTGTGTGTGTGTGTGTGTGTGTGTGTGTGTGTGTGTGTGTGTGTGGGGCGAATGGAGCAGCTGGTGCGATGCTACGTAGCTGAAGGGCAGCTGTGTGTGTTCTCCTCCTTTCTTTCTTCCCCTCTCTCTCTCTCTCCTCTCTAACACTGAGACCCCCTCCCCCGCTTTACTCCCCACATCCTCCGCTACTGCTATGATATAGTGACGGCTGTTGCCGGGGGAGGTTGCCATAGGAACCGAGTGATGATTGGTGGTGCTGTCCACTGCCGGGAAGCTTGTTGGGGGAGTCGGGTGGGTGGACGAGGGGGGTTACGACGAGGTGATTTTATTCTGCTGGGGGATGGGGGGGTGTGGTCAGCTGGGTGGCAGGAGGTCTAGTGGGGGGGGGTTACAATGAACTTTGGAGTATTTGTTGATGGCAGGAGTGGATAGGGGGGGCTTCAAAGCTTGCTAGCTGTCCAGAAACAGATGGTTAGAGGCTAGTGATAAAAGAGCTTCCATTGCTCTTAAGACCCCCAACATGTCGTCAAAATTAGCTTCAAGTATGAGAAAATCAACAGAGCTTCTCAGAGGCATAACATTTGGTGAGAGAATATTATTTTGTCTCAAGAGCCTGTGAGGGCTTATGTGCCTTTGCCACCATGGACCCTCAACCTAGGAGAGACCCTTTTGATAAGATGAGCTGAGGCAATTCACTTTGCCCCTTCAGAGATTCTCCAAAACACTGATGGGTTTTACAGGGTTCCTGCAGGTTTCACCAACTCATGTAAGACTTTTTACCACTTTGAATAGAATTTAAGACCTATTTCACGGCAAGAAAGTATGAAAGAAGAAATACGTCCCATAATTACTTACAAAGTGAATGTATTCATGTTCAACATAAGAACGATGACTGAACTTAACAGCATAANAATTCAATTCCAATGTCTAAAGCAGGGGTCTCCAACCTTTTTTAGGATGAAAGAGGAGTAAAAGTAGCTCACGACTTGTTTTATTTTTTGAAAGTAGCTCTCATCCTAAAAAAGGTTGGAGACCCCTGCTTTAGACATTGGAATTGAATTGGCAAAAAAAAATGTAATTTCCAAACATGTATAAACATGAAAAGAATAAAACCACACACACACGTAGTTCACATTCTTAATTGAGCAATGCATCTGGCAATAGCGAGGACAGCAAAAATGACCAGTTATGTCCATATATTTAGTATGCTAAGTAGATCTTGAGACAGGATGATTTTAAGACGCCTTTGACTGATATTGTGTCCACGGTGTTGCAGGAAACCCCTCGTCCCTTGGCTGTGGCATGAGCAGTCTGCAGCAACACGTGAACCCAGGCGGAGGGCAGATGTACCAGCAGCAGGTCCACCAGGGCATGCAGCAGGGCCCCCCCCCCCATCCGGCCTACCAGGGGCAGCAGCACTTCTCTGACAACCCCCCCTACACAGACGCGAACAACGCCAACGCCAGCTCCATGGCCTGCCTCTATCAGAACTGCCAGGTGGGAGGATGACATACATTTGGATCTCTGTGACATTTAACATAGTTATACAAAACAACCTCAATCTGTGACCTTGTTAGCTTGTTATCATCTTTTTGTATTTAGTCTTAGTACCTGGGTCAATGACAACTGTTGACATTATAGTTTTTATATTTATCAGCGTCTGGTTTCTGTCTCCCAAGCCATGTTGTTGCTATAGTAACTGTTATTTAAGTAGTCTTATAAGAGTCATCTATAATGTCAAATGTTTTGTCTCCTTGTCGTCTTGTCGTTTTTTTAGTCATACATTTATTGATGAAATTAACCCCGCCCTTGTGCCCAGCAGGGGATGTTGTCGCACCCTCAGTTCAGGGAGGGGCAGCAGCCGCAGGGCGATGGGCTTCCTTCAGGTCCAGCTGGGGGCGACAGGGGCCCTGGAGGCGGCCCCGAGTCGGTGGACGCCATCTACAGAGCTGTGGTTGACGCCGCCAGCAAGGGCATGCACGTCACCATAACAACCACAGTGAGCGGCACCACGCAGGCCAGCCCGGTGCCCGCCCTCAGCGCCATGAGTGCCTTCACCACCTCCATAGGGGAGCCGGTCAACCTCCCCCAAGCAGTGAGCAGCGTCCTGCACCGGCACAAGGACGTGGAGGGGGTCCCGCAGCAGGCCAGGCCCAGGCAGGTGAGGCACGGTCGTGGTCAGAAGGATCCAGGGAAGAGCACCCCAGAGGGTCCGGAGCCAAGTGACTACTTCCGTTCTCCTGGCCGTGGGACCCCCAGGGGGCAGTGGGACGGGGAGCACGGGGGAGGCTTTGACGTTCATAGCAACAACGCCTGGGGAGGGGAGGAGTTTCTGGAATGCTCCACCCAAGTGAGGAGTAGTCCCTGTATGGAGCGCCCCGTCAGCCTGGCCCCCGCTCCCCCCTGCCCCAATGAGGGGTCCAACGACCACGGCTTTCTGGACGACGGCTACCGCTTCAACAACTGCAACCGGACACTCGCCAATTACAAGGAGCGCCTGGAGCAGACGGTGGAGCGCTGCGTGCTCATCAACGGAGCCACCCCCCACTTCAGCAGCCGGGTTTACGGTGACGTCCTAGGCCCCCCGAGGCAGGAGCTGACGGGGGACGACCAGTCTCCCAGCTCGTCCACCAGTCTGGAGGGGCCCCTGGCCACAGCCAAAGACTACAGCCACTACAACGGCCACTTCAACGGCATGGCGCCCAGCCCCTCGGACACAAAGAGCCTGAGCAGCGAGGAGGACCTGCGGCAGCCGGACTCCCCCTCCTCAGAGCTGCTGCACTACCGCTCCAGGACCTTCAACATGGGGGAGCTGGTGTGGGGCCAGCTGAAGGGCTTCCCACCCTGGCCTGCCAAGCTGGCCGGGGACGAACAAGTGCACAGCGCTGCCATGCAGCTCCGGGAGCAGGCCAAGGTGAGAGACCCTCTGTAACCGCATTATTGTACCAGCCAGCTTTCATTTTCAGAGTTAATGTGCAGTGAAGGCGGATCTCAGGCTGAACAATTTAGGCAGCCTTCTGTTCCAATATGTCCATGTTTAAAGGTTTTGTAATTTCTCCATGCAGGTAGAGCCAGAGAAACTAAAAACACTAACTCACCACGACTTGGAGGCCCTCGACCGAGCCACCAAAAGAGGCCTGAAGTGAGTGAACGGCTCCCCCATATGGTAGCTTTAGGTTATAACCATTTTAAACACCAGAGAGAATCAGTGCTGAGACAGGGGGTCTAACTTCTACTTATTATTTTGATGCTGAAATAGCTAGAGGCTCTGGGGGTATTTATCAGTTTGAACTAGTTTACCAGAATACATTTGATCACATGTTTAGATGTTAACTGTTAAAACATGTTACTTGAAGAAGATGCATAAAGATAAGCTTCATGCTTTTTTACAGACAAGTTACAGCCATTAAGCTATTATTGAATAATGGCTGCAGTTAAGCAATAGATCAGATTATTCATTTGTTTGTTATGCGTTGTGCCCTGAAAACCAAATGTTGTTGTCCATGCAGCAACTAAATGTCCCACCAAGAGCAACAACCTCTCTGTCTGCCTGCTTTAGTTTAATGTGATTAATGTAAAATGTTAATGTTCCACAGACCGGGGAAACTGAATAATCATTTGGAAGCTGCTATCCACGAGGCCATGAGTGAGCTGGATAAGATGTCGGGCACGGTGAGTTTGAGAAAATGTAATAATCTGTATCCTCTTGCTTCTCCGTTTCCTGTCCCTATAATGCTTGTTTCCTTGTTCTGTCCCTATAATGTTTGTTTCCTTGTTCTGTCCCTATAATGCTTGTTTCCTTGTTCTGTCCCTATAATGCTTGTTTCCTTGTTCTGTCCCTATAATGTTTGTTTCCTTGTTCTGTCCCTATAATGCTTGTTTCCTTGTTTTGTCCCTAAAATGTTTGTTTCCTTGTTCTGTCCCTATAATGCTTGTTTCCTTGTTCTGTCCCTATAATGTTTGTTTCCTTGTTCTGTCCCTATAATGTTTGTTTCCACCTGCTTCCAGATCCCATCGAGGGATCGTCAGGTGAAACTCCCCAAGCCTAAGAGGAGGAAGATATCCAGATAACATTGAATGTGTCGGCCCAACAACGTCCTCAGGCCTTCGGAGACGTCGTCCGTTCAGCCTTGAAGCGATCTGAGCTCTAACAGGTGCTACATGGACTGTCAGTGGTACATCCATGATATCGACTTGACTCAATGACTGAAGGTGCTGGAACTCCAATCACCAATACAGTTTGAACTGTAGAGAAAAAGAAGAAAAATGAGAAAAACATTGGTTGCAATTTGTCTACAGCTCACTGAATTAACTATTTTTTTCTAGTATAAGATAGTAAAACAAACAAAAAGCTACAAGCATTACCTTACATATTTAAGAAAAATAGACAGTCCAAATATTTCTGATACATTTTCAATATGTATATAGATAATCCTGAAATGTCATGCTATTAAGAATTGTATGTAAATATTGTACAATGTCATGTACAAGCATACCTAATGCACATTTTATCTTTTATTGTACAAAAAGAAAGCAGAAGTGTACCAATGTCTTGGTTTCTATTCAGAAATGCGGCTGCGTACGGCCGCGTGCATAGGATAAATAAGAAAACAGTCTAAAGCTTTTATATGATGAACTGTAAGACGTGCTGTTTTTTTGTTTTTTTTGTAAGGGAACAGCAGTGGAACAGGCATGAGTATACGAGTTCTCCATTATGAGTTCAGTGTTCATTTGCATTGGAGAAAAAAGACACAAAACAGAATGAACTTTACCAGCAGAAAGTGTTCAATGTTCCCCTAAAGCATGATGGGAAATGACGAGCAGCCGGACAAATATTGGTAAATCTCCATCTGCTCCACCAGGAAAATCTTGAAATGTAGAGACTTCTGGTTAGACTGTGTTTATTTGGTTTACCAATCATCGAAACTGACAGACAAAAGAAAGTCTGAAGCGAAAATCCCCCCTCAGCCACTTGTTCAATAGGTGTCATGATTATGGCGCCCTTGCATTTAAAAAAAAAAAAAAAAAACATTTTGGGTGAACCAACATTGATTATTTTTCAAAATGCCAGGTGGTTGAATGGCAACTATTTTAACAATTATCTGTCTTTTTTATTTAAAGAAAAAAAGGGAAAGAATGATCCTAAAATGAATGTTAAGGCTTCTCAAATGTCAAGATTTCCCATAATTCTGTCATATCATTTTTAATTAAATATATTCCATGTATGGGTGGAAAAAAAAGACAGAGAAATTACCAGGATATTCTTTTCTCAGTTTCTTTGCATTTGATAGATTTAACAATAAATAAATAACAATAATGAACACAATAGTTGAAACCCCACTTAATAATGACCTTGACAGTATTTGAACTGTATTAAGACAATACAAGTGAATGCAACATGAAATCAGGACTACAAGTGTCTTTGGGTGGATTTCTCCTTCAACTCCAACCTAGAATCTCGCCTGCATTGATGAATTATGACATTTGGTGGTTGTGATTATGTTCTCATATTTGTACAGTGATTATTTTTTTCACGAGTGTCGTCCTTTGGGCCACATGGATAGCTTAAGTAAAATCACCAGGAACACTAACTCCAGAGCAGTGAAAGCATTTCTCGCATTTAGGGGCCTTGTGTAATTTTTTTTGCTTACTTATGATGTAAATTATTTATGTACAGTACTCCATATTTATTTTAAGCTTTACAAATATGCTAGATGGCAATAATACTACCAAGAGTTGAGAACTCAAGCCTTATATGTGTATATGTATGTTTTCTTAACAGTGAATAGATCATGTGTCCGTTACAAAGTTCCTTTTTATTTAAGAATAGGGATGACAGATAACAGCGAGGCGTTCTGATCTACTTGTTTTTGTTACAAATTGTGTTATAAGTTAAAGGAGGGAAACCGTAACAACGTCTGCCTCCAAGACCATACTATTTATAATATGCACATCTAAAAAGGCAGTGTTTGTGTTGACGCTGCGAAGCAAAATCAGTCTTAATATCGAAAGTGATGCACAGCCACTCCTCCAGATCAAAACCGAGCAACTACAACGTGAAATCTCTCCAGAATGATCAAGTGCAATATACGAATGGATGGCAACAGCTCAAAAACTCTGCGTCTATGATTGTTTGAAACCTTTTCTTTAACTCTGAATTACACAGCAACTTCTTTCAGATGTCCTAACCTAAGAGCAAACAAGTAGTCATTTATTTGTAGCTTTACCTTTTACATGTACTTTCACAACTGTTACTCCCATTTGAATTTGATTGAATTACTTGAACTTATTGCAATGTTTCTGAGGGTAACCCTAAAACCAAATAGAACACTTCTTTGTGAAGAATGTATTTTCTTTCTCAGCCCAGTATAACATCAAAAACACTATTAAAACACATCCACAAGTTGTATAGCCCCGACCAATCCCACTTATGTACTTAAGTTTAATATCATACTCTATGTTCTAAACTAGCCTCGAAGTCAAACTATGTATTACAGCAAAGTCAACAATATAGGCATTTTAATTTGTGTTCAGGAACTGAAGTTGTACTGTATTTTCTCATGAGGTGGATCCCTCGAAACATGTTTGTGAACACTGAAGAATGCAGTGAAAAAGCACTGAATTTGCTTAATGTCAAGATAAAAGACATTGTCAGCCTCTCCGTAATATTCTACGGTTAATATCTCCTTCCTTATTTTTCTTCAGTGTGCACACTTTTGTTTGAGTTTTTTCTCAAATCTGTGGCAAGGGAATCCTCCGGCTGATTTGAAAATGTGACGTTTGGTGTCGAGAACACATGAGCTCTTTCGGTAAAGTTCATTCTGCCTCTCCTCCCTCCCTGTTTTTTTGTGCAATGACATGACGGAGCCCAGTCCGGGAACCCATGTGTTTATGAATCTGTTGGATCAGTTTCATGTTATTTGTGGTCAAGAGTTCAAAGCATTTTTTGTGTTTGAGATGGTATGTGCAGTCTATTTTGTTTCTCCTCCCGCCTGTGATTGTGTGTTGGTGTGCGAGTGTGATTTTTATTTTTAGTTTATTGCTCTTTGAATCTCATTTTCCTCTTTCATCGTCAGTATTTTATTTTTTCAACTTGTAATTCAGTATATATTTTCTCACTAATATATACTTTACAAAAAATAGACGTGAAGTATGATGTGCACTTGATTGCTCTTGTTTATTTTTATTGCATTAATGTGGGCTAGGGATAGTTTGTCAGTCCATTATTTTGAGATTGTTTGGACTTTTTTTAATGGTTTGATGTAAGCAGCATTTTTTTGTAAATATTGTGAAACATTACAGGTCATGCCGTGATGTAACATTTTGAATAATGTTGCACAGATGTTTAAGATATTAAAAACATGGACACTCTTACTTGAATCATTTGCCGTGTATTGCTTATTTGTTTGTCTCCTGATATTTATTATACAGGTTTTTTGTATTCTAAGTATAAAAAAAACCAAAATGAATTAACTTAGTTAAAATTATGATTAATCAAATAGTTTGGAGTTTAAGAGCCATTTTTTAAGTCTTGTTGCACACTGCCCTCTTGTGGGCAAATAGGAACACCTCGGAATACTCTAAGAAAATGACTAGAAATTCGAAATAAAAACACCCTGTAATTGACATTATTTATTGAACAGTATACTAGATAGAATATCCACATTTTAATTTAGTTTTTGTCAAACAAGAAGTATCCCCAATTTGCATCTGATAAAAATACAGATGTTCAAATGTTCCTTGTTTTTCAAAGCACCTGAACTTTCAGCTAGGACCTCTCCTTAATGCTGGCTTGAAAAGTGCCTTCAAAAAAAAATGATTCAATTAAAAAATAATTCAATTAATTCGGCATGTTGGTGAAGATCAGATGATGTGATGTGATCGAAAGCTCTAGAACAGATCTTGCTAAATGGATAGTGTGGTGAGACTGTTTTTAATATTAGGAATGAACTTTAAACCTAAAAATGCAATATGACGGGACACTTTTTATAGCCGTGTTATGTTAGCTAATCACTAGCACAATGTGTGCTAGCATGCTAAACACAACGAAGCTGCATTTAGCTAACAGTTTACAATAGTTTACAGCACTTTCCATGTCTGAATTGGCTCACATCTCACCTTAAATATTAAAGGAGGACCTCCTGTTTCTTGTTTTGTGCAAGTCACTAAAGAATAGTTGTTATAAAACTAGAAGCCAATGATATCTTAATTTCACCTATAAAAGTCATCTTATCTTATCAAGAACTCATTATGTAAATGTTTTCATTGCAGAGTTATATGTATTCCATTATTAATATATAATAAGGGTAATTAAGCATCACTTTAAGGTAGAAACTTGCAAAACTGGGGCTACTTCTGTCATGCTACTGTGCTGTGTTATCGATTACAATAGCATGCATCAAAATGCATTTTGTATTAATAATCTGAATCTGCTAAATAACCAGCGTCCAAAAACATATCGTAGCAAAAGTAAATTAAGAATTCTCTAGCTACTATCTTTCAACCCGCTGTATATGTATGTACAAGAAATTATTGCAGGTTTTCATTGTGCGCGTTCACACGATCAACTCAGTGATGGTGGTGGTGCTGATGCAGGCAGGGCATGGGGGCGCGCCGCGGCACCGTGACAGGAGCGCGCTTCATCGCAAGTCAGGACGCTGCGGCTGTCTCTGCGCATCTCCGAGCTCTGACCGCACACCGGACTCTCCGGATAACACGCACATCAGTCCGCTATTACGCGTCACTGTCACAGTCACCGCTGCAGAGGGAGGCCTGCACGCCCAAGCGAGAGCTCTTTTCCGGGATACAGCGCTGCGGTTGATCCGGTGACTATGGTGCAGCAGAGGAGACATATTGGGCTCGGATGAAGGACGCGTTGCGCATTGGATAAACCGGAAACATCCTGAACTACCCTGTGGTGAGATGTCATCCTATTGTGCAAATAATGTTAATCTCTGTTTTGATGCATTCTGAAGTACATTCAAGGCCTGCTGGTGGTCCCTCAACCACACTTTCTGTGCAAAATCCACTAATCCTCTGTGTGTGTGTGTGTTTGTTTATTTGTTTGTGCCCGCAGTATTGGCCAGGGAGGCGGTGTTAACAGTGCCAGCAGCCATGATGGATGCAGCGGAGTGCGGGGTGAGGGTGATGTGCCGCTTCAGGCCCCTCAACGAGTCCGAGATCAACCGAGGGGACAAATACATCCCCAAATTCAAAGAGGAGGACACAGTGGTCATTACGGCAAGTCTACAAATGCTGTGAAGCTGATTTCGTGTATGTGTGTGTGTGTGGAGCTAAACTACCAACACTGCAGTGATTTAGAGGAGAAAGTCACCTGGAGATCTGCAGGATGGGGGTGCCAAGTGCGCAATAAATCCTGCAGGAGATGTTATGGCAGTCTGAGCATTATATTAAATATTGCACCAAATGATATACATAGACAGTATAAAATCCTCCCTATTCTGTATCAGCAAAGATATGATGTGTTTATGTGTTTGTCGCTACTTTCATGTATTCTAACTTCCGTTAAAGATGTCTTTGTGTGTCTATTTAATTATATAAAGGTTGATGTAATAATACAGAACACTACAGACAGTCAGTACTGTAAACAAAGCACATTTTTAAACATGTACAACTTGGTTAAACATTCCCACTACAGCATGCTGGGCTTCTACCATCAATTATTCAATATTTGATCAGAACATTCATTAAATAACAATCTGTCTTAGCAACTGTGCTTTGGGCATTAACATTTTAGATTAGTTAAATAATATAAAACTGTCTAGAGGGAAAGCGATTACATGGTCAAACAGAATGGAGATTTGATGTGTTTAAAATCTAGTAAAATATTTAGAGAGTATATTCAGAAAGATACAATGTCTGGTAAACACTTTTTAATGTGTTTTATAAGGGATTTCTTAAAGCCAATCAGAACAAATCTCTGCTGTGATGTATTTAGAACTCTCGCACCCAAAAAAATGTGAAAACAACTATTATTTTATGTTTTATATATGATATTTTGCATTGAAATTGACCAAGACAGACATACTGTTAAGTAATATTGGTTTAAGTAATAGTTTAGAGGAGGGGGTCAAAGGTTAGTTGTTGTTCTCTGAATCGAGGAATTTGTCTTTTTTTCCCTCATTATTAAGCCTGTAAAAAAAGTAGTGTTGCATCATTATTCAATAAGCCCCCTTATCCTGATTTAGTTCGATTTTCCATCAAAAAAAGGATGCAGGATACCTAGATGTTGTATCTTTCCCACTTGTCTTTGAACACAACCTTATAGGTATGTCTAAAAAAACAAGAAAATAGACATCATGGCATCCAGATAAAACTCCTACATTGGGATTAGCTCTTAAAATCTGTCAATATTATCTATTAAACGTACTTCCAAGCAAATATTCAGATGCCCGCCCTCCCCCCTCTGAGAATCAGCAGCCCTGCACGTCCTGCGTTATTCATTCTAATGCATTATCCCCAGAAACCCTTCCTTCTGTGAGGACAAACTGCACCATGTCACCTCCATCAATCAAAGTGCAGAGACATGGTGGAGGCTGCTCACTGGAGTCAGGAGTTCCTTTGCTCCAGACTGGGTGCTGCTGAGAGCTGCATTTCACTAAACCAGGGCTTTTACCCCCTCTGACTGTTGGACAAGGGCAGGAGGAATGATGGGTAGTCAGACTGGAAGCATTGACAGCTCAGGACTAGCTGTTTTATAACACCATAGTGAGAGAAACAAACATTTTGCAGTTGGATTTAATCATTATTTTCTAATCTTGTCTGTGAAAATCAGCCATTTTGTATGTATTTGTAACACATACAGTTCCTTGCTGTTTTGCAGTTTTATTCAGTAGAATTGTGATATTAAATCAGTATCCAGTCAATGCAAATGCCAAACATTAAATATGTGCATCTTTATAATTGCTATTCTTTGGTGATGGACACTTACTTGTTTTCTTTGTATTTACAGGGTAAACCGTACGTGTTTGACCGCGTCCTGCCTCCCAACACGGCGCAGGAACAAGTGTACGGCCAGTGTGCCAAGCAGATAGTTAAAGGTAGGATTTAACATTTTTTTTGCACATAGATTTAATCTGTCATTAAAAAAACAAACATATTTATCATAACAGTAAAGAGATATGGCTTGTTATGACTTATTGTCACCTTTTTATTTATTTATTTTGAGTGTTATGTCTGCTTTCAAAGACTTAAAGTGTAGTTTGACTGAAAAATAAATATAAATTACATTTAAACCCAAACAGTTTTGAGTCCTTCACAGCCAGTTTGGAAATCATTAACTATTAAGGATAAGAATGAACTTGAATTAGAATCAACCTTATCTGCTTCTAAACAGTAACTCATGCAAACCAAAAACATAGTTACAAATATCTTAATTGAATCAAAACCGTTTGTTAGTTGTTACTCTTAATAAGCTGTTTTTATAATTATAGTATTTCTCTTAAATATTTACATTTAACTTTATACAGCAAAAGTGATATTGGCTGATATAAAGGTACAAATCTAAAGCCACTTTATTACTAATAGGAGGAAGATAAACACGTAAATAATGGAAGCATAGACGACCTAATATTGGTATGAAATAAATATGTAAAGTAAGCAGTAATAGCAGTAATAGCAGTAATATCAGCAGTAATAGTAGTAGCTTAAGTTTTGTTTATAAACATGATTGTCATATTTTTGCAGCTGTTTTTCATGCCTGTGTTTTCGTGCTTTTGCAGATGTGCTGGGCGGGTACAACGGGACCATCTTCGCCTACGGTCAGACGTCCTCCGGGAAGACACACACCATGGAGGTGAGGCAATACAATACACAAGATACACACAACACAAACAGAAACCTGCCATTAGTCTTCAGATAACCAAAAAGAAAACGTGTGGCAGCAATTCCTTTTATTACAGTGAAGCAATGACCTTTATTTTCTGATGTTTTCATCTCCAATCTAGGGATTAGAGCTCAGCAGGCATTGTATAACAGATTTGTATCAAACATTAAATCCAGGCTCTTATCCTGATGTGAAATGGAGGAATCCGAAGCCTCAAAGCAGAACAGGAGCATTAAATTAGGTTTGAAATGAGTATGTAAAGTAAGCAGCCATAGGAGTGTTATGCAGCATTTGTTCAAGCCTTCCAGCAAGGCAAACTTCACTCAAGTATTTAAATAGCTTTTAAGTTTTTCATTTGAGTGGCATTTTTTTATTTTGTATTTATTTGTTTGTTTGCTTGATTATTTATTTACTTATGAATGAATGTATATATTCATGTATCTGTTAATAGGTACACTGCAATTCAATGAACATCAGTATAAATAAGATAACAAAATAAATAAGATAAAAAATGCTGGTGTTAGCAAACATGCTTATTTACATACCTTAATCCCCAGGCACGTAACAAACAAGGAGACAACATTTAAGCAATAGCTCACGACAGGCCGTGGTATATGGTCATTATATAGTTAAGGGGCGTGGTTCGGCCCGACGTTGGTTAGTTAGTTAGTTAGTTAGTTAGTTTCGTAATGGACGTAATGTAACTTTTTCTCAGACGCGGAGGGATACATGACTTGTGAAAAGTAACTACAATTCTACCCGTGATCTACACTCACTATATCACGGCTAAGAACCAATCAGATTGCTTGATTTGACTTGTCAGTTTTATAAATAAGCAATAGCTCACGACAGGCCGTGGTATATGGTCATTATATGACAGTCAAGGGGCGTGGTTCACAACATACACAAATTGTGCTTCACGTCGGGCCGAACCACGCCCCTTAGCTGTGATATAATGACCATATACCACGGCCTGAAGTGAGCTATTGCTTTTATAAAACGGTTACCAAGTGTGGCAATATGAAAGAAAAATACCCACTCTAATTTAAATAGTTTTTATTAGTAAATAATGATGTTCAAAATAAAATAGAAAGCTTTTGAATGGTGGTACTTTTCCAGTTGGTCTACCTGCTCTTCACGTAGCTCTGCATGTCGTAGTTTAGGTGCTTTCTGGAGATAGGCAATCCACTCCTCCATNATTATTTGGCTGTTTATTTACATTAATGTGTATGTTGCTGTTTATTGTGCAGCCACTGAAAAACTGTCCAGCATCAGTAGGATGGCTTACGTGGTCACTTGTATAGGTTGAGGTTGTTTCTTGGCGTGGCGAGAATATTGCTCCACTTTCTCCGGTCCCCGAGATTGGGCTTCCAGTAGCTCTGGAGAGAGCTTTCGCACCTGTGGCCACTAACGGTCATAATTTCTCTGCTTTGTTTCAAGACCCGCATCAGAAAGATTTTGAATGGCGCTACTTTTCCAGTTGGTCTACCTGCTCTTCACGTAGCTCTGCATGTCGTAGTTTAGGTGCTTTCTGGAGATAGGCAATCCACTCCTCCATAGTAAGGCCACCCCGGAGGTCGAAGTTAACCTTAAATGTTTCCATCTTAAGCTTTGTTAGTTAGTTAGTTAGTTTCGTGACGGGCGTAATGTAACGGTTGTAGCTTTTCTCAGACGCGGAGGGATACATGACTTTTGAAAATTAACTACAATTCTACCCGTGATATACGCTCATTATATCACGGCTAAGAACCAATCAGATTATTTGACTTGTCCGTTTTATAATCATTAATATATAAGTGGAAAAATACAGAGTGCAAATGACTTCCTCTCGCAGACTAATCCACAAGGAACGCAGCTTAAATCCTTTTTTTAAATCTCTGATCTCATCTGTAAGAAGTGATGAGAAACTCTTCTTCACTGTCTTTAACTTTACTTTAAATTCCACCTTTTAACCCGGATGTTAAACGTTTTTAAAGCTGCAACATGACACCACATGTCGAGAGTCAATCTGATGTGTTTTGGGAGCCTTTATATTAAACATACACTTGTGTTTTCAGGGCAAACTGCACGACCCCCAGCTGATGGGGATCATCCCTCGCATCGCCAACGACATTTTTGAGCACATCTACTCCATGGACGAGAACCTGGAGTTTCATATTAAGGTAAAGAAATCCAGAAGTTGTTTGACACTCAGAAAACCAAAATCAAGATATGCAAAGCTTTAAGAATGATTCCATACTTGGCTTTTGGGCCGTGATAGTCACACACATCAGCCTAATGTACTGGATTCAAGTAAAGGCTACTAAAATAGAAGTTATTCAAATGAAGCAGACATTTACAGTTTGGAGTTCTTTTTCTGCAGGTTTCTTATTTTGAAATCTACATGGACAAGATCAGAGACCTGCTGGATGGTAAGTAAGACTTTCTATTTCATTTGTTTAAGATTTAAGATGAATTTGAATGATATTTGATCGTATGTCTTTGCAAGAATCCGCATGTGACTTTGGTGCTCCTTGTTCTGTTTGAAGTGTCCAAGACGAACCTCTCTGTGCATGAAGACAAAAACAAAGTGCCCTATGTCAAGGTTTGTGAACTGGACAGCTTCATCTTTGATTTCCTAAAAGCCAGTCATATTATAAATCATGCATTTCATTCATTTGAGACTGTGAAGTAGTAGTGGCTAATGTTAGCACTTTAACTGTAGTCTGGCTGCTGTTAAAGCTAAAGTTAAGGTTAAGGTATACAATTAATTATAATAAACTAAATATATGGTTTTGATACTTTGTTAATGTTCTGTCTACGTCAGGGTTGTACTGAGCGCTTTGTGTCCAGTCCAGAGGAGGTGATGGACGTCATCGACGAGGGCAAAAGCAACCGCCACGTGGCCGTGACTAGTAAGTGTCCTCATACGAGTTCATTAATATAAATACATGTTCGTACTGGAAAATAGGTAAGTAATAGGAAGTATACAATACAACAATGTACATCTAGTATTAAAGTATTTTTCCTGTAGCATGACAAGTTAATTGTACTTATGTAAATACTGTAAGCTTAATACGAGTTTATTGATAATAACATCTTGCTCACAGTTTTTAAATTAAATGTATGTATTTTTAATGTTCTTTCAAATAAGTAAGTCATAGAAAGTTAGTTTAGTAAAAATGGCAATTCAACAATGTACATGTAGTATCGAAGTTAAAGTCTTTTTGGTGGATTTTATTTATGTATAAATACACAAAATAACCAAAACAAATGCAACTGATAAATGGAATAGTCTGTATTGGGTGTGGATGAATAGACATTTCCTGCATGGGTGTTATGCTGTAAAACGAATAAAAGCTACTTAGGTACATAAGTGTAGAAATGTGAAATAGCTGTGAACCAACTTTACATTTCTGCGTTTTTTTAATCTTTCTAGACATGAATGAGCACAGCTCCCGCAGCCACAGCATCTTCCTCATCAACATCAAGCAGGAGAACATGGAGACGGAGAAGAAGCTGTCGGGGAAGCTGTACCTGGTGGACCTGGCTGGCAGCGAGAAGGTAAATCTGAGAGGAATCAGGAGGGTAAAGAAAAATAAAGTAGATGGTCTGATGTCTAACTCTGTGTCCCTGCAGGTCAGTAAGACGGGAGCAGAGGGCGCCGTGCTGGACGAGGCCAAGAACATCAACAAGTCTCTGTCAGCGCTGGGAAACGTGATCTCAGCTCTCGCCGAGGCAACAGTAAGGCTTTTATAGAAACACATGATGTGAGGCTACAATCAACAAAGACAAAATACAAACGTCATAGCATAAGAATTAAAAAAACATTATACATCAACATAAGTATTGCCATGTGATCAAAGCATGTGACTGAAGTGAAACGGAAACTAGGGGATGGAAATGAGTTTACAAGGTGCGAAGAGATGGGTTTTGAGTTTTCTTTTTTTGTTTAATAATCAGAGTATTTCTTTTACATTAAGAGAAACAGTCCTCTCCACATATTTGTGAATTGATAGCGTGGTGTTTATTTCCCAGAAAACCCACGTGCCGTACAGGGACAGTAAGATGACCCGCATCCTGCAGGACTCTCTGGGGGGGAACTGCCGGACCACCATCATCATCTGCTGCTCGCCCTCCGTCTACAACGAGTGTGAGACCAAGTCCACGCTCATGTTCGGACAGAGGTAACAGTAACTGAACATTAAGATACTCGGGGGATCAGAATCTGAATTTAGCCTGGGGGAAAATAGGGTCTTGGCCCTTCTTTTTTTTTACAACAACAGCTGTGCACGTACATGACAACCCAAACAAACAATGCAATACAGCTTTAGATACAAATACAGAAATAATATCAAATATATGTATTTTTAAAACAGTTAGTCAATCAGTCAGTATTCCTTGTCTCTGATTTGAACGTTGCCCCTTTTAGAATTAAATAATTTAAAATATTTATACATAAATATAAGAAGTTAAAGGAAAAACGCGTACTAACAAATATAATAAAATCCAATCAAAATAGGTAAATACATTTAAAGTAAAATTGTGAAATAATAAGATATAATAAAAATAACCACATTTATATAAACAATAGATCTTAAAGTAACCATGTGTACAGTGTACAATATCTACACCAAAAATGTCAAATTACACAAAAGAAAACTGTGACTCATGAGGTATATGTCTGACGTCAGTGCTGAAAACAAACAAGCAGATGGCTGTTAGTTTCCCACTGTGCACTTTAGTTTATTTCTGTGTATGTATCCCTCTGATGGAACTCTCTACACCTTTTTTTATATTGGCCGAGGCTCATTTGTCTTCTAAAACCAAGAGTATTCTAAAATATTGCACTAATTCTAATCTTTATCTAACGTTTTCTTTTTTTTTCACACACTTCATTTATGTTATTAGAATGTACTAAACATGGTAGTTTTAACTTCTGGAAACAAGATAAAGTCACATTTTTCTCATGAATTACATTCTGTATGAGCAGTCTGAGCGTGTGCAAAGAGGAAAATGTGCCCTGAGTTCTGTACCACAGGCACGTGGTTCAAACAGTTGATGTAATAAAAGATGAAGCAGCGATTTACTGCGCACCATCTGCTCTTTTTTTTCAGTTTCAGTCCTAATTAAGATTTCCACAAAGCTAAGAAAGGTTGTAATCTACTGACAAATTCAACCCGTGGATTAATTAAAAGAGGACGAGGAATTAAGGACATTTCTGACATTTTAATGTGTGTCCACTTCTGTGAAAACCTATTGTTTTGTTCTCGTTTTCAAAGCAGATTTTTGACTGTATTCAATGAGAACATCATTATGGTGACATCGAATAAAAGATATCTGATTTTCTGATATTTCATGGATATAAGCAGGGGTGCTCATAACTTTTTTGCCCTGGTTCTCAAAGGAGCACCTGGAGATGTTGCTTGGTGCGCATCCTTAAAATGCCGTCGTCCTCGTGGACGGATTAAAACAATTAAACCTAAATGGCTCGCAAATTGTACTTTGGCGGCCGTTAATATACCTGGGCGTCCCGCCCAAGTAAAGTCTGTGTGGGAAACCCTGCTATCTTACAGTGAAGCGTCCTAAAACCCGGAAGTAAACTCCTTCCGGTTCCTTCGTCAAAAAGCAATGTAATTTCTCCATAGGATTTAGGAAAATAGCTGGAAATAAGGTCTGTGGTTGAAACACATTTAAGAGACGGATCACGTTTTGTTCAGCAGGATAATATCCACATGTCTACCCTACTTTTATAATTTTCGAATCATAAATCTAGTCGCCAGAAGCAGAATGCTAACGTTATGCTATAAAGGAACTACAGCAGGGTCGCTGCTTCAACTTCACGCCAACTTAAGATCCAGATTCAAAACTACAGTTTCAGAATGGTACGAGTTGAAGCGTTTGTTTGAACAGTTTGCAGGAGGCAGGGACTTGCTTTCAAGCAGAACAGGGCAAACAAACTTAGCAGGAGTGTTTACGTGTTCGGTGTAATGACGTAAAACAGCCTCGACAACTACCGTAGTCCTATTCAGCCACTTGGTAACAACCATCGTTTTTCAGACACGTAAACTCTTCAGAAATCACCAGTGGGGTCACTGCTGATGGATTTAATGTCGTAGAACAAAACGTGATCGGTCTCTTCAATGTGTGTCAACAACAGACCTTATTTGGAGCNAAAATGCTAACGTTATGCTATAAACGAACTACAGCAGGGTCGCTGCTTCAACGTCACGCCAATTTAAGATCGATGTTTAAAATTGTACGAGTTGAAGCTTTTGTTTTAACAGTTTGCAAGAGTGCAGGTACTTGCTTTCAAGCAGAACAGGGCAACCTAACTTAGAGGAGTGTTTACGTGTTTGGTGTAATGACGTAAAACAGCCTCGACAACTTCTGTAGTCCTATTCAGCCACTTGGTAACAACCATCGTTTTTCAGACACGTAAACTCTTCAGAAATCACCAGTGGGGTCACTGCTGATGGATTTAATGTCGTAGAACAAAACGTGATCTGTCTCTTCAATGTGTGTCAACAACAGACCTTATTTGGAGCTATTTTCCAAAACCCTATGGAGAAATCCCATTGCTTTTTATCGAAGGAACCGGAAGCGGTAAAATGCTAACTTACTTCCGGGTTTTAGGACGCGTCACTGCACCACTCTATACTAAACGATTCAGGCTATACAGTTAATAGGATAAAAACTGTTTGGGATAATGTATGTTGCCTTCCATCAGATTGACCTCACACTTTTTATGTTGTTTTAGAGCCAAGACCATCAAGAACACGGTGTCTGTGAACCTGGAGCTGACGGCTGAGGAGTGGAAGAAGAAATACGAGCGGGAGAAGGAGAAGAACAAGAACCTGAAAACCATCATCCAGAGGCTGGAGGCCGAGCTCAACCGCTGGAGGAACGGTGAGCGAAAAGCTGCAGATTCAAGAATAAAAACTAAATTCATTGTTTTAGAAAAGTGTTAGTCTATTTCAGGGATGAATACACGTTTTCTCTAAAGTGGTCCTTCATTTAGCGCTCACTTTTCTTTAGTCACTTGCAGATATCTGGTTACTTTACTGTACTTATTTTGAGGTACTTTATACTCCTACTCCACTACATTTAAAAGAGAAATAATGTAATTTGACTCCACTACAATTATTAAACAGCTTTAGCTACTTATAACAAAACTCTTTAAGTCACAAGAGGGTCAAATAATTCAAATATCTGAAATGCTACTTGATGCAACAATATTATCTATAAATGTCTCATATATCAATATAATGATATAAACACATCAAAATCATTTTTTGCACAATAATTACTTTTTATATTTAAGTCTTTGAATGCAGGACTTTTACCTGTAATGTAGTATTTTCGACAAAATGTATTGGTACTTTTACTCAAGTACAGCATCTGAATACTTACATAAACACACTGTGAAGGGAGTTTAAATATCTGTTGTTCTGTTTCTCCTCCTCAATATCGTCCTCTCATGAGACTGCAGTGTCTCCTCCTCGCCCTTTTTCCATGGTAACCGCTCCCTCCCCCTTCTCTTCCCCTTCCTCCTTCTCTCTCTCTCTCTCTGTTTTTTAATTCCTTTGTTTCCCTTGTTCCACTCCCCCTCCTTAGCAACCATTTAGCTTCCACAGCCTCCACCTAAATGTATTGAACACAGAACACACATACACATTATGCTGATGCAGAGTTTCTGCCATGACTCAGCGCTGGCTCCATGCCGAGTCGTTGAAACGCAGCAGCTCCTCAACCCCCCCTCTCCCCCTCCCTCTCTGCTCTCCATCTTCTCATTAGCTAATGACTTTCCTCACAATTAAAACGTCAATAGTAATTACAGCATCGATTCTCCATCCACTGAAGTCACACTGCTTCTAACGGCAACAACAACAACAACAACAACAACAACAACAACAACAACAACAACAACACATAAACACAACCAAAAGGATGATACACATGTGGCTGTGCTGCATGAAATACATACAATCAACTAATAACTGTTTAATAACAAAATAACTCATATTACGCACAGGAGGCAAAACACTTCATGTAGAGTTTGTAGACTGATGCATAAATGTGGAAGAAATGTGCATTTTTACAATGAACACAGTTTATTTTGGACCTAGGCTTTATAAACTAAGTAACTACGTAACCGGTTATTTTTTAAATAACAAATTCTAAATGTAATTCCAATTGTTTTAACAGACAGATAGACACCCACACACACACACAGGCAGATATTTGATTTTCTCCCCCTCTCATCCCCCCAACCACACACCCCTTCAAAAATAAAAGCCCTATAGATTTCCTGTATCCTTACAGGAAGCGCTGGAAGAGGGAAGTATTTTTAAAACAAAAGCCCTAGAATATCACTGTATCCAAACAAGAAGCCTGCTCAGGATAAGGATTTTTTTCTAACACTACTAGAACTAATACTACTACTACTACTACTACTACTACTACTACTACTACTACTACTGCTACTACTACTACTACTGCTGCAGGGCTCGACAGTAACGGTTGCCAGGTTGCCATTGGCAACCATTCAGAAAAAATGTCAACCACTTCTTGGTCTTTGGTTGCCATCTGTGGCAGCCAGTTTTTAACATAAAGAAATAAGGACAGCAAACGGCTAAATGTGCACCCCAAAATAGATAAATGTTAATTATTTGTTGTATTAAGAGTGATATTTAATTATTGTTGTGACCAGTCGGAACCTGATACTTAAGTTGCACGTGCATTGGTGTGATTACGGAGCCAGAAAGAGATGCACGTTTACTCGCGTGCGCTGTGTGCCGTGTGTTTGTTTTACAATGAATGGCGAAGCAAATTAAGTTGTTTGACTGTGGGGTAAAAAGCTCGGCCAACCCGTCAACATCTCAAACGAATGTTCAAAGTGATTCAACTGATAAAGTCTTGGGAGGCGAAACATTCTGCTGCGTTGTGCATTCACTTCCGGTAAAAGTCCCTTCAAAATAAGAGTCCCGATCTTATTACTACCAAAATAAAAGTGCAAAACGAAACTTTACCATAGGAAAATATTGGCATACAAATATAATCACTTCTATAAAAAGGTAACACATTTTAAATATAGTTAGACATATTAAAGGTAATTTACAGCATTAATAATTAATATCTAATTTTTGTCTGTGAATGGTTTTCATTTATTTAACATTAGAAATGTATTAGTCTGGCCAATCCAAGACTTCAATGCTGAAGGGCCAATGGATATATGGTGGGGGTCAGCACAAAGGTCAAGAGAACCCACATTTGAAAGGGAGACAACGGATGACCAAACTAGTGACTTGCTCAATTCATGTTTGAGGGATCTGTGAAGAACAACAGCTGCACTACTTGTATTTAGTATACCAGCAATTGAGGGTGGACAAGTTTACTACCACTTTAGTTTCAAATAATTGTGTTATTACTTATTGTAAAGCAT